CCCACATATATATAATAAAATAACACGTACGCACGCACACAGAGACATGGGGAAGGGAAGATATTACGACATTTGTAGAGGAAATGGAGGTGTAGGGTGTAACAAGTGAACCAAACACTTGTCAAGAATGGTGTTATTAATGTGTGTGGGGATGAAACACAGAAGCCTGTAGACAGGCAGACAAAGAGAGGGTGGTTCCGTTTTGGGATCTTGGGGTTGTCAGTTTGCGCTGCACACGGAATATATTTAATTTGCACATTCCAGATGGTAGTGATATTTTACGCGTGTATGTACAACCATTTCTTTTATGCCTCCCTATATGCATGCAATTCTACACGTCGTCTATTACCTTACACAAAGCTAGCCACAGCATTTTATGTTCTCTTCTGTAATAATTCATCTCCACATTATTCTTACATCTATATATATTGTATCTCACACCACAATTTTTCTTTTTTCATGTTATTATTCTATGTTTTAACCAAAACTTAAGAGATTTTATATCGACTTGTCAATGTCATATGTGAGTTCAAGATATTAACACAAGAGGTTTAATGTGTGCATGACAATTAACAGGAGAGTTCGCCGACTCATGAGTCATGTATAGATGTGTCGAGAAAATAGTATAGGCAGATTTGAGTCCATATATTTTCCTTTTCTAATTTGGACCATTTTCATTCTTTTTTCCTTTTCATAAAATAAGCGGTTTTCCTTTTTTTTTATTTTTTATCTTTTGTACCGTACCATTGTTTTCTCTCTTAAATTTATTCAAACTCTTTTGTCAATAATTACTATGGGAACTTGTAAAAATTAATGCATAGAATTCTTCGTTATTGGAATGTTCTCTTGAATTGCATGCTAATTAAGGTCTATTCTTAAATTTTCAGGATAAATTGTGGATCACTGAATATTATACAACCAACGCCCTAAATTTATACAACTTTTTACATTTTTATATTGCAACTTGTAACTTAAATGACACATAATCGATCATGTACAAAAACACAGAACTAGTAACCATGCAGAAAAATATAACATTTCATTTATTGCTTTTATTACATATTAATAAAATTCCTATTATTCTATACTTCAAAGCACATCTAATTTTAGAAAAATATTGTAACTGGGTAGCTAAAATATATGCAAATATAGCAACAACTTTTGAATTTTGCAAATATGACAAAAAAAAAATTAATTTTATTTTTAATATTTCAATTTTACTCTTCTTATAATTACGCTGTATCAAGAATTTATTATTGATTCATTCACTAATATAACATATCAGATATATTAATATTATTAATTATTAATAATGGTATATATGACTCAGGTTATGTATATCAAATCAAATATATATACATATATATATATATATAAATAAATAAATAAATAAATAAAGGTATATTAGTGTTAGCAATTCTTCCAGTAATATAACAAATAAAGTATATCAATAAGCAAAAAGAATATATATTTAATTGAAGAAAAAAATTATAGGTAAATTGAAAAACAAAATATAGTATATGAAAGTTTCTCTCCTTGAAGTCCTATTTATGTATAAAGTAGATTACATGAAAGATAAAGTGAGTGAAGAAAAAGATTACTACTCACCATTTATATTTAAATCTATAACAAATTTGAGCATAAATTTATAGATAAGAAAAAGCTATATTGCAAGTTTTTTTTAATGTTTTATTTTAAATTTTAATGTATTATAACAAGTAAAATTAAAAGTTTACTTCCCATAATTATATGTAATATAGATCCTTATATACTTTTAATTGTGTGTTTGATAAGTCTTTAAACTTTAAAGGTGTATCGTGATCTATGAACTTTTAATTTTATGTCTAGTAGATAGAGAAGCTATTAGATATTTTTTAAAATTCAAATATTGAAATTTGTGTCTAATATGACTCTTTATCATTTAGCTTTGTGGCAAAAAGGTTTAGGAGTTGAAAAGAAACTATCCAGATAAGTCAGGAACTTATATATTAGATAGAAAAATTTAAGATTTAGTTAGACCTGAAATAAAAAATTTAAAGATCTGATAAAAAATTTACGGGAACATATTAGACATAAAATTAAAAGTTCACAGATTTATTAAACAACCGACACAAATTACCTTAAAATTTAACCTTAATTTAGGTACAAACTTTTATTTTTAATTTTGAAATAACAAATTTATAAATGAATTTATTTATAATCACTCTATGTAATTTATATGCACATTGGAGTTCAAGCTTACTGTGTGAATATATATATGTATATTTTTCTTTTTGCCCCCCAAAGGAAGGAAAAAGTCAAGCTTACTCTCTGTTTTATTTTTTTCGTTTTTGATGGTAGAGAGTTGCATAATATAGTAACTTATTTGCATTAAAAGTGACCTCACGAGGAAATTTACCAACAGACGCACTAATTAAGTGGGAAAATTAAAGGTTCATCCTATGAAGCCCAACACAGACAGACCTTAAAAGACGAAATGAAAAATGAAAAATTGACAAAGAACACTGCCAACTCCCACCACGATCAATTTTGAATGTTCCTCATTTTTTTTTTTTGTTGAGGAGTCAGATTCAGATCTTGTTGCGGTACCAAACGACTCCTCTAACAGAATTAGGATCGTCATCAGGCTCAACATAAACACACTCTCTGGCCTCCCTCCACATGGCCTTGAAAACAGGGGTCCGATC